TAAATAAAAATAAAATATATATATATATATATATATATATATATATATATATATATATATATATATATATATATATATATATATATATATATATATATATACTGTGTATATATATATATATATATATATATATATATATATATATATATATATATATATATATATATATATATATATATATATATAATAGTTAGAGTCTCTACTTATTCATGGTCAATTGAACCCAGAGGGTCCCGTGTTAAGTGAAAACCGCGTTAAGTGAATAACAGAACATATGGGATTAATTCCAATAGAACCCAGCCCGACCCCCAAACTCCACTTTTTGACGACAAATAACTATGTTGTAGTAAAAATAACATCTTAATTTTATGATGGTACATGCACACAATTAATACTTAAGAGAAATAGAGAAATACAGTCGCCAAGTTAATGTCCATTCAAATAATGGACTCACTGGCTCTTCCCTCTGAGAAATTTTTGGGGGAAAACCAGGTATAGTAATAAATAATTCCTCAAACTAAAGTTAGGATAATATAATTGACATTGCTGGATTCCTTGTAAGACCAGGAATATTTTGAATATAAATGTCATATATTTTGGACAAAAGATAACATAATTACCTAGAGAACAATTTTTATCTAAAAATTGTATGTTTAATGCAAAATATATGTTGTTTATATTCAAAATGATCAGCAAATTGTAAGAATTCCAGCAATGTAAATTATATTCTGACCGGATAATTTGTATGAATTTTATGAGCTAAAACAAATATCTTCAGTTAATAAAAAAAAAAAATATTCTTCTACACTATCTGTCAATCAAAGTACCCCACCTTGCCTTCCCCCCCTCTTCCAACCACGTGGTCAGTCCCAACCCTCCCCCCACCCCCCACCAATCCTCCATTCAAGAGTTTTTAACATTTAGTATTAAGTAATACCTCAGATTAAAGTTAGGATAATATAATTGACATTGCTGGATTCCTTGTAAGACCAGGAATATTTTGAATATAAATGTCATATATTTTGGACAAAAGATAACATAATTACCTAGAGAACAATTTTTATCTAAAAATTGTATGTTTAATGCAAAATATATGTTGTTTATATTCAAAATGATCACCAAATTATAAGAATTCCAGTAATGTAAATTATATTCTGACCGGGTAATTTGTATGAATTTTATGAGCTAAAACAAATATCTTCAGTTAATAAAAAAAAAAATAATTCTTCACGGGGTAACAGATGGTCGGTCGGTCGGTCCCTCCCTCCCCCCCACCCCCCACCCCCCACCAACCGTCCCAAGGAGATGTGTGGGATAACCACTAAATTTTAATAAATAATACCTCAAACTAAAGTTAGGATAATATAATTGACATTGCTGGATTCCTTGTAAGACCAGGAATATTTTGAATATAAATGTCATATATTTTGGACAAAAGATAACATAATTACCTAGAGAACAATTTTTATCTAAAAATTGTATGTTTAATGCAAAATATATGTTGTTTATATTCAAAATGATCAACAAATTATAAGAATTCCAGCAATGTAAATTATATTCTGGCTGGGTAATTTGTATGAATTTTATGAGCTAAAACAGGCAGTCAGGCAGGGTGGCGGGTGGGGGGTGGTGCGAATCTAAAAATAGCTCTCGAGCTGGACACTCACCGCGTATATGATGAAAAATGCTGCGTTAAGTGAAAGTTCAGCTTTGGCAAGGCACCGCGTATATGCGAAAACGCGTTAAGTGAAAGCGCGTTAAGCGGGGTAATACTGTATATATATATATATGAAGGTGAGATACAGGAATGTATAGTTATTGATCTTCTATTACTGTATTATTGTCTTCATAAAGTACAGTACAGGGGGTCCCCGGGTTACGAACAGGTTCCGTTCCTAGGTCAGATTTGTATGTAAGTCGGAACACATGCTATGTGCATACCGTACTTACAGAACAATGTTTAAAATCCCACTATATCATAGCCTAAGTCCTTATATACATTTAAAATCACTTAATTTAAGATAAAAGACGAAATAGAATAACAAGATACAGTAAATGAAAGTAAAAAAATAAGTCAGCGGGTAAATAAAATACTGTACTGTAAATTTCAAGTTTAACCTCGTTCATAAATCGGGAACCCCTGTAATCAAATATTTTATATGCTTTACTTTGATTGAAGAAAATGTCCAAAATCATAATTTAATTAAGTAATTCTTGTTTCAGTGGAATAAAAGGTCCATCAGGAGAGCCAGGCAGTGTAGGCTTACCTGGCAGAGTGATTCGACCTGATTCCCTAACAAGCAACATGGGCCCAAAGGGCACTCCAGGTAAGACAACACTGAGTACAGTAGAATCCTGGTTATCTGAAACCCATCCAACCGCCAGATTTAACTAATTGGCACCAAACTGAAATAATAATAAAAGAAATTCCCCCAAAATCAGCTAGAATCTTAAGTTTGAATACCGCTCGCACTGAGGATGAGCTTCCATATTCATTGTTATGATAAACAATAAAATCGCTACATACCATATAAAAAAATACAATAGTAGATATTTTTTGTAAAAAAAAATAGCTCCTTCCACACTCAAATCATCCTTTGGGCAACATGGCATAGTTCAGGCAGTCACTTAGCTGACTCACAGACATTTGGCTACCACGCTGGCTGTGTGTATGCCGTGACGTCACATCTTGAGGGAGCACAGCCATGCAGTTATAACCCAGTAACCCACCACCTCCACCCACATATACTCACCCATGCTCTCATTCATCTTATTTTATAGTTTTATATTATATTTTATTTATTTCTAAATCACATCGTTTATATAAAAAGTAATAAGTGTTTAAAGTCCATTTTTCTCAGACACAAATTTACAAGGTCACCTTGTAGCACTGTGCGTTGTAAGATTTATTGGAGGATCCTAAGAGTGAGATTCAACTAACCGGGAAATCTCTTTATCTGGCACTTCTCAATCCCCATAGGTGGCAGATAACAGAGATTCTACTGTACTATATTGTGAAACCCACGTCTTGTACTTTTGACTACGGTATTCAATATTACTTTTAGTTGAGTTTAATAAGTTATACAGTAATATATGGATTGTACTTTTGTATATGATTTTAACACTACAGTCTCTCCTTTACTTACGACGGGGTTCCGTCCCGACGACCAGGTCGTAAGTCGAAAATGCGAAAATAATACATAGAAATTCTAAAATGAAATACAGTACAGTAAAAGTAATCAATAATTAAAAATGAATAAAGTATTACTGTGCACTTACCTTTATTGTAGTCAGCTGAATGCACACGGGGCCTCAATAATTTTTTAATGAAGCATGTAGACTACATTAATTGGATGAAGCAGAGGAGGAGACAGGGCTGGGTGGGTCATCAAGTTTGCTTTCTTCAGACAGGGTAACATACTTGCTTGTTGAAGTATTGGATCATCTTTAGGGAGTGAAGAGGCAGCAGTGGTGGGGCGTGAGGAGACAGCAGTGGGGGACTTCTTGAAAAATATGTCCAATTTAGACTGCACAGTTTGCCTTTTCTTTTCATTGTAAATCTCCTTGTAGCAAGCAAGTGCATCTTGGATCGGTCTGTCAACTTTTGCAAAACGCTCAACATTTTGATCCATTTCTTCAAACATTTGCATCCCCTTATTAATAGTAGCACATGCCTCTGCCATTTGTTTCACTGAAAACTTTTGGGGGGTGCAGGTTCTTCTTCTACATCTTGTCTCTCTTCTTCCTCTGCAATTTACTGTGCATCCAGTTCAATAAGATCCTCGTTACTTAACTCTTCTGCTGCACTTTCCACCAACTGCTCAACATCTTCATTATAAATTTCTAACTCAAGCTGTATACTCATCTGCACTATCTTGTTACTAATCTCAGAAATTGCTTCATCTTCATTAAATCCTTTGAAGCTGTTCACATATCTTTTCAGGACCTTCCATATTCCATTCATGCACTGACCTGTAACCTCATCCCATGCTGCAGCTATGTTCTTTGCACATTGCAAAATGTTGTAGTCCTTCCAAAACTCTCTGAGTATTTTCTCACCTTCAGTAGCAGCAACAGCCTGAGCGAAGGTCGTATGTAAATAATTAGCTTTAAAAGCAGCAATAGCACCTTGATCCATGGGTTGGATGATAGAGGTAGTGTTAGGTGGAAGATACACTACCTTAACATCAGGGTGCATGTCGTCCAGGTGTGGTGGGTGCCCCGGAGCATTATCTAAAATTAATAAAATCTTGAACGCAACCCCTTGTTGCAGACAATACTCCTTGGCTCGTGGAATGAAACAACTCAGGAACTAATCCTCAAACAGTGCTAGGGTCATCCATGCTTTCTTATTACTGCGATAAAATACTGGCAGTGTGTGCTTGCTGACATTTTTAAAAGCCCTTGGGTTCTCTGAATGATATATCATGAAGGGTTTTACCTTGAAACCAGCTACATTCCCCCCAACAGAAGTGTGATTCGGTCCTTGAATGCCTTGAATCCCGGCATGGTTTTCGCCTCTTTGTGGATGTATGTTCATTCTGGCATGCGTTTCCAGAATAAGCCAGTTTCATCCACATTAAATATTTGCTCAGGCAAATAATTTCCCTCCACGATGACACGATCTAGCTCCTCCTTAAAAGCTTCGGCAGCACCCACATCAGCACTTGCTGCCTCTCCACTCACCTTTACACTGTGCAAACTGTAACCGTTCTTAAACCTTTGGAACCACCCATGACTTGCTGTAAAGGTTTGCTCACACTCATCTCCTGCCTGCTCCTTCAGGCTTTCGAAAAGGCTTCTTGCCTTAGCCTGTATGGTTAGAAGGCTTAAGGGTACATGCTTTTGCAGCTGATCTTCCATCCATATCACAAGTAATTTCTCCATCTCATGAAGAGGACCTTGTCTTTTTTTCGTTATTATTGTTCCCTTTATAGGTGCTGATCCTTTCACTACCTCACGAATTCGTTCCTTGTCCTTCAAAATTGTTGATATCATCGAATGAGAGAAGCCAAGGTCGCGTGAAATGGTTGCTACCATTTTTCCATTTTCATATTGCATTATTATTTTCATTTTCATCTCAAAAGTAACTGACTGTCTCTTTTTCTTCTCAGCACCACGAGAACTCTCACTTTTTGCTTGCCAGTCATTTTAAAGAGAATTACAAACGAAAATTTTGTCAGTACACAGCACAATCACTAACGACAACAACAAAGGCCAAACACCAACTGAGCGGGCTACGTCGTGGATGCTGTACACCATGAGGCGGCCCAGCCCATGCTGTCGTACGGGACCGAAACGTTTCGGTACTAGGGGGCAGTGTGTTTGTCTTGCAGTGATCCCTTAAATCCACTTGTTCCTCAACATTAGAATAAAATGTAAAATAAACCTTTACAATACAACTCCAACACAACTATTCATCTTTAACTTTCATTCAACTACGGTCATGATATTGTTTTCCATGCTGAGATATACACCTATAATTCATTCACCTTTCATACCTAATCCATTCACCTATCATGCTATACCTAATTCATTCACCTATCATGCTATACCTAATTCATTCACCTATCATGCTATACCTAATTCATTCACCTATCATGCTATACCTAATTCATTCACCTATCATGCTATACCTAATCCATTCATGCTATACCTAATTCATTCACCTATCATGCTATACCTAATTCATTCACCTATCATGCTATACCTAATTCATTCACCTATCATGCTATACCTAATTCATTCACCTATCATGCTATACCTAATCCATTCACCTATCATGCTATACCTAATTCATTCACCTATCATGCTATACCTAATTCATTCACCTATCATGCTATACCTAATCCATTCACCTATCATGCTATACCTAATTCATTCACCTATCATGCTATACCTAATTCATTCACCTATCATGCTATACCTAATTCATTCACTTAACATATTTATTGATCAAGTGCTTTATATATTATCCACCAGGTAATCTAGGATTAAAAGGATTTAAAGGTATCCAAGGTGACACAGGCTTTGATGGACGAGATGGACCAAAGGGTGTTCCTGGTACAAGCAGGTCAGGACCACCCGGACCAAAAGGGTACCCAGGACAGGTCGGAGATCCAGGCCGAGTGGGTCCCAAGGGAAACCTGGGCCAGAATGGCATTCCTGGAGTACATGTGAGCACTGTACATGTATTCTATAGTACTGTAGTTATATTTATTAATTTTTAATGTTTAATTTTATTATTATAAATTTTTTCAATTACTTGTATAAATCTTACTGTATAGTGTAGGTTTGGGTTACCTGTTATTATTCATGTAATTTTTCCCCAAAATATTTGTTACTGTACTTTTACTTTTTATTTAATACTGTATATATTTTTTTAGCTTTCCACCACCATGTCAGGTGAAAAATCATTATTTTGGCATTAAGAAAATTTTAAGATAACTCCTTATTTCCCTATGTGCCAGTTATTGATGCTGGCACTGTGTGCGTGAAGCTAACCCTGAGGGGGTTAGGAAGCTTTTATTATACATTACTCATAAAAGTTGCAGAAAACCAATTAAATTTTATATGAGATTTGGGTTCCATAAAGGGAACTAGTATTTTTTGTTAGTGATGACCAAGAACTTAACTGTACAGTATGTCTGTTTAACAGGGAAGCCGTGGTAATAAAGGAGAAGATGGAGAAGATGGCATCAGTGACAATCCTGGGACACCAGGATTGCCTGGAAGGCCAGGAGCAAAAGGAGACCCAGGTTTTGATGGAGGAGCAGGAAGTAAAGGCTTTTATGGTTTACCTGGAGCTCCTGGTAATAGAGGAAACAAAGGCGCTCCAGGAAACCTCGGTACTTCAGGCTTCAAGGTGAGAAACATAAATGCATTGCCAATGAGATTTATTTTTTAAGACTCTTTCCAATAGTGAATTTATGCAGGTACAGGGGGTATTTTTTTTAACAAATACTTGTACAGTAAAAAGCATAGAGAGAGATCAGACAAGTGTCAATGTTGAATATTCTATTGGGCATCCATCCCCTTACCAAAGACCAACGATGTTTGAGGCAGTACCCCCCCCCAAACACACCAGTACTGTACACCCCTCCCCCCAAACACACCAGTACTGTACACCCCTCCCCCCAAACACACCAGTACTGTACACCCCTCCCCCCAAACACACCAGTACTGTACACCCCTCCCCCCAAACACACCAGTACTGTACACCCTACTCCAAACACACCCAGTACTGTACACCCCTCCTCCCAAACACACCAGTACTGTACAACCCCCAAAACACACCAGTACTGTACACACCTCTCCCCAAACACACCAGTACTGTACACCCTCCTCCCAAACACACCAGTACTGTACACCCTCCCACCAAAACACAAGTACTGTACACCCCTCCCACCAAACACACACCAGTACTGTACACCCCCTCTCCCAAACACACCAGTACTGTACACCCCCCAAACACACCAGTACTGTACACCCTCCCACTAAACACACCAGTACTGTACACCTCTCCAACACACCAGTACTGTACCCCAAACACACCAGGACTGTACACCCTCCCCAAACACACCAGTACTGTACACCTCCCCAAACACACCAGTACTGTACACCCCTCCCCAAACACACACCATTACTGTACACCCTCTCAAACACACCAGTACTGTACACACCTCCCCCAAACACCAGTACTGTACACCCCTCCCCAAAACACCAGTACTGTACACTGCACACACCTCCAAAACACACCAGTACTGTACACCCCTCTCCCTAAACACACCAGTACTGTACACCCCAAAACACACCAGTCTGTACACCCCTCCCCCAAACACACCAAGTACTGTACACCTCCCCCAAACACACCAGTACTGTACACCCCTCCCCCAAAAACACACCAGTACTGTACACCCCCAAACGCACCAGTACTGTACACCCCTCCCCCAAACACACCAGTACTGTACACCCTCCTCCCAAACACACCAGTACTGTACACCCTCCCAAACACACCAGTACTGTACACCCCCAAAAACACACCAGGACTGTAACCCCTCTCCCCAAACACACCAGTACTGTACACCCCCCAAACACACCAGACTGTACACCCCTCCCCCAAACACACCAGTACTGTACACCTCCCACCAAACACACCAGTACTGTACACCCTCCCACCAAACACACTAGTACAGTACACCCTCCCCCAAACACACCAGTACTGTACACCCTCTCCCAAACACACCAGTACTGTACACCCCCAAAACACACCAGGACTGTACACCCTCCCCCCAAACACCAGTACTGTACACCCCCCCAAACACACAACCAGTACTGTACACCCTCCCACCAAAACACACCAGTACTGTACACCTCCCACCAAACACACCACAGTACACCCTCTAAACACACCAGTACTGTCACCCTCTCCCCAAACACACTGCCTGTACACCCTCCCCAAACACACCAGTACTGTACACTCCTCTCTCCCAAACACACCAGTACTGTACACCCTCCCCCAAAACACACCAGTACTGTACACCCTCCCACCAAACACACCAGTACTGTACACCCTCCTACAAACACACAGTACAGTACACCCTCCCAAACACACCAGTACTGTACACCCTCTCCCCAAAACACACCAGTACTGTACACCCTCCCCCAAACACACACCAGTACTATACACCCTCTCCCCAAACACACCAGTACTGTACACCCCTCCCCCAAACACACCAGTACTGTACACCTCTCACCAAACACACCAGTGCTGTACACCCCTCCACCAAACACACCAGTACAGTACACCCTCTCCCCAAACACACCAGTACAGTACACCTTCCCCAAACACACCAGTACTGTACACTCCCCCAAACACTAGTACACCCTTCCCCAAACACACTGTACTTGTACACCCCCCAAAACACACCAGTACTGTACACCCTCTCAAACACACCAGTACTGTACACACCTCCAAACACACCAGTACTGTACACCCCTCCCCCAAACACACCAAATTGTACACTCCCCAACACATCAGTACTGTACACGACCTCCCCAAACACACCAGTACACACACCTCCCCAAACACACCAGTACTACACACCTCTAAAACACACCAGTACTGTACTCCCCCCAAACACAAGGTACTGTACACCCTCCCCAAACACACCAGTACTGTACACACCTCTCCCCAAACACACCAGTACTATACACCCTCCCCCCAAACACACCAGTGACTGTACCTCCTCCCCCAAACACACCAGTACTGTACACACCCTCTCCCCAAACACCAGTACTATACACCTCCCCAAACACACCAGTACTGTACACACCTCCAAACACACCAGTACTGTACACCCCTCCCACCAAACACACCAGTACTGTACATTCTCCCACCAAAACACACCAGTACTGCACACCTCCCCCAAACACACCAGTACTGCACCCTCTCAAACACACCAGTACTGTACACCCCCTCCCCAAAACACACAGACTATACACCCTCCCCAAACACACCAGTGCTGTACACCTCTCTCCAAACACACCAGTACTGTACACCCCCCCAAACACACCAGTACTGTACACCTTCCCCAAACACACCAGTACTGTACACCCCCCCAAACATACCAGTACTGTACACACTCACCCCTAAACACACCAGTACTGTACCTCCTCCCAAACACACCCGGTACTGTACACCCCTCCCCAAAACACACCAGTACAGTACAGTGCTGTACAGCCCCTGTAAATGTGTTCAATCCATATATCATTATGTCTAAATCAAATGTAAGTCTGTATATTTTGCCCGGCTGCATCTATTAATAAACGTTTAATATTATTATTACACCTCCCCAAACACACCAGTACTGTACACCTCTCCCAAACACACCAGTACTGTCACCCTCCCCCCAAACACACCAGTTGCTGCACCTCCCCAAACACACCAGTGCTGTACTCCCCAAACACCATTTGTACCCCTCCTCCCAAACACACCAGTACTGTACACCCCTCCTCCCAAACACACCAGTACTGTACACCCTCCCTAAACACACCAGTACTGTACACCTCCCCCAAACACACCAGTACTGTACCCCTCCCCTAAACACACAGTACTGCCCTCCTCCTCCCAAACACACCAGTACTGTACACCTCCCAAACATACAGCCTCTTTATATATATAT